ACAGACATACATATCAGAGCTGTGTAATGATTGAATCAATTGAGTGTGCATTCTCATTTTTTTCGTTTCAAAAATGTGATTGTTTGATTTAAAAAATTTAACAACCACTCTTGAGATTGGTTACAAATTGTAAACACAAAATATGTAGTGTGTTATGGAATGGTTGACACCCATTCACATAGAGAATGTGAATGCAAAAAAAAAACTCAATCATGTATGATTGGACGTTTATGGGAATGCAATCTGTCATTATCATTCAGTACTAATACTATTTGTTGTATCAGGGTTGAAATTTTTGTACTCAAAATGTGAAACCAGAAGATTGCCATCTCCCTTAAAATAAGTAAACAAATAAATATTTGGTGCTAAAATATTTTTCTAAGTGTTTGGCCGAACTTCTGCTCAAACTTGAGGCATGAGTTCTGGTTTTATAAGAAGAGTTTTCAAGGCAGAAATATACTCGAAGGTTTGCCATTGCGTGCCGAAGGACGACTGCTATTTTGGGCTATGATCTGACCAGGTATTTAACCATGGTCCTATGGAGTGGAAGTACGCACATGTAATCACTCTGCTACGGCGGCCGCCGTAAGTACATGCTATACAAATCGTCGTTTAAAGTACAAAACCGCGTATCAAGAAAATGCAAAACCGCGTAATTGCATAAATTATTTTCTAGAGAGTAAAGTCACCCATATTTCAAAATGGTTATCTTTTTTATAAAGCAAACGTATTCTGGCTAGTATATTTCAGGACGAATGGATAAGAATTGAGCCAAGAGTTTTTGTGAGCAAATCCAATTTTTGGCAGCCAATGTCAGTCACACGGTTTTGAAGAATGACGATAGGCGGTTTTGTACTTTAAACGACGATATATATGTACACATATTAGATTATTTATTCTCAAAATGCATGAAAACTATAGTATGCTTGCAAACAATTAATAACATTTTGTGATAAACAGTTTTACAAATGTATTTGCACTTCAAATTTGTATTTTAATAAAGTATTAATTAAATAAATTATTATTGTAAATTATTATTTTAATAAATAGATATAAAGATATTTATACTTGGCAACTCTTGGACTTTTCTTTATTTGTAACAAATGACAGACGTAAACAAATTAAAAAAATAATTATATTTTTACAAATTTAAAGCAAACGGGCGTTCTTTACAAAAAAATGTAGTTAGGGATCGAATTGCGCATATTTTTTTTACAATATCAAGTGCCCACAAGAAGTGTTAAACCACTAAATAGCTTAAAAAACGCTTTCAAAAATCCGAAACGAGAGTGAAGTGCAGTGTTCAATTGTGATCGAAATTGCAGGCAAAATTTGTGCGTGTGTAATTAATGTTTTACTTATTTGAAGAAATGTTGCCCGTTGTTATTAAAAATAAGGAAACCAAGACCCCCGCTTTCCACTGGTGGTTACATAATACTTGAATAGCTCCTTAATTAACATGTGTTTGTTTTGAGCACGCACGGCCAGTTAAACAGGCATGTCTGAATCGATTTCCTTCATCATTCTTGGCAATTTGATGTGCATTTTTATTGTTATGTGTTGCAAACAGACATTTTCGGAACTAAATAGGTTCTAAAATCTCTGTAAACAAGCGCACTTATTTTTAACAGTTTCCAGTTTATGTAATATTAATCAAAACAGCTTTTATTTATTTTATGTATTATGTGATTTCTGGAAGCGTCGAATACAAAAAAGGGCTGTGACTGGGTTTATGTAATTTGAAATTGTATTGATGATTACTAATAATAATAGAAAGGCGCTTACATATCGACACAACTAAAAATTTCATATATTTCAGTAGAGCCAATTAAAGATTTTTTGTTTCGTAATTTAGCAATAATATGTCTTGGAACGTAATTATATGCAGTCATACTGTAAGCTTTCAAATTATGTATTTTTCTAAACCTGAAATTTTGAATTGTGCCGTTATTGCAGAGGACCAGCGACATATGTTAGGGCTACTCCTCCGATTGTGGCATGCGCCTTGGCGTTGTCGCACAAAGGGGAGGGACCTACAGTTTTACGCCGACTCCTGCCGGGGGCCGACCACTATTACAAAAAACATTTTCTTTTTTTTGTTGGCCGGAACTGGGCTCGGACGCTCACCCTGCGGAATGGTAGTGCGCACTTCTAACCACTACACCACAGCGATCGCTTAATTAATTTTAATCATCAATCGCGATTAACCACTTATTCGTTAATTTTTAGTCATTCATAGACTAACATTTTGTCGACAATACTCGCATAAGATAGTCCCAAATTTTCACAAAAGAGAAAAGTGATTTTCTTCAAAACTTTTGAATGACGTCTTGACTGAACTAACTAATTCGGAATTTCTACTATTACTTATAGAGTAGGCTATTCATAAAGTCTGGGTAATGAAATAAAAATTTTTCTATTATAAGTTCCATAAATATAAGGAGACTTTTATTGTTTAATTTATTTTTTGCACATAAACTTGTATCTTGAACTTCTTTTTCCAAAAAGTGAGGATGTCAAAATTTCAATAGATATCGGATGTACGGTAATTTTCCAAAGAGATCTCCTAATAGATAAGTTCATGAAAATTATTCCAAACGAAAACTTAAAATTGATAAAAAAAAATAATAACTAAATTTAACTAATTTATATTAGAGGTTTGAAGTTTATCCCACTGTAAGTATGAAATCTTCAGCTATGTGTTTCCATTGTCACTTTTTCGTAGCCATATCAACAGCCTGACAATTAAGAAGATTGTGACGTTTCATGCTACCATACGCAATATTTTAAATCCTCCAAATTTTATTATTAACCTTTTGTTTGTTAAAAACATTTTCTTCTTAGATTCGAAACTTGATCAAGCAAAATTGCCTTTGTGTTTGACTAAGAGATGCTCAATAAGCTCAGAATTGTAGTTCTCATTTGCATACATAACAATAAATTATTAATTTTTGTTTCACACCAACTCCAATATTGAATAGTAAAATATATTTTAATCTTACCCAAATAAACAACGATTTAGTTCAATGGTCAATCACATATAGAGTATAGGGTGGTAATGTGTTAAAGTTTTAAAGTTTTTAAACGTAAAATTACAGCTAATACCTTTTTAAGCGTTTTGTAATTTAACCAAAACTCATTAGCATCCACTCAAGCAAGGAATTACTTACTTTTCAACATGCATTAGCAGAGTGCACTTCTCTTTTGTTTACAATTTGGTTGTCAAACACACTACATCGGATCTTTTGCCAGATTTACCAGAATTTTCCACCAGGTAGCTTCTGACAAAGAGATGACCTTACTTACTCTCTTATCTGTCCTCTCAGTTGCCAGAAAACCAAGTACGATTTCCGGTAAAATCTGGAAATTCTGGTAAAAAATGGTAATTTCGGACTCATGCGGGTTCACAACTAAATAATATTGGGAATACTTTTGAGGTGTTTGAAGAGGGTTGCGACCTGTTTGAAACTAAATTTATTTATAATAATCACATTTTGGCCTTGACACTTTTGCTAAGTTTTTGCCGAGCTTCTCCTCCGATTTGTAGCGTGCGCCTTTGCTGTCACACAAATGGGAGGGACCTACAAACTTACGCCGACGCCGAACGGCGATACAATTTTTATGATGAGCTATTTTTTGATTAAAGACACTAAGATTTTTAAAATATTTTCAATAAAATTTTATCAACCTAAATGTAAAGCTTATGCGAAGTAGTTATCTAATTTAATGTAAATTTTAAACATTTTCAAGATAAAACATGAATTATATTTAAAACGTAAATGTAAATACAACTGTTTTATATATAATCCCAAACAGATGATATAAAATCCCCTCTACCAAAAAACTTAAATTGGGTAACGCCGGTTTGAATTTTTACAATTGAGCAATTGTCAAAAATCTTCCTTTTTATCAAAAAGTTATTTACCAGGGTGTCTTTGAACTAATGATTGGTACTGAGTTAAAGAATGCACACACATAAAAGATTGCAGCCTTTTCAATACTCATTCAGTGTTAAACCTTTTTTTGATTGGGCATTGGTTTTTTCAATCTTGCTATGAATATGTTGATGTGTGAATTCATAACTGCTTTGAGAGAATGGAAAATTCAAAAATTTTAAACCTCAATCCTAAGCGAAGAATAAGTAATGAAAACTGGATAGAAAAAAATTGTTGATTTAAAATTGAAAATGATTTCACACTTACACAGCTCTGATACATATGCCGCAGTGCATGCATACGTACATACTTATGTATTTACATACACAATTATTTGCTGTTATTGTTCATGCTGTTGTTTTGTCGCCATTGCCATTGTCGTCAACGCGCCATATTGCCACAGCAACAGTGTTGCCATTGCCTCCACCCGGCTGGCCGCAAACGTCTCATCAACTTTATCGACAACGCGACACAATTTTCGACGGCGCGTCGCTTTTGCTTTCAGCCGCCTCGTCAGCGCCAAACGACAACGGCAACGCCAGTGACGTGAGCATCGCCACCAAAGTCATTATCGTTGAGTTGGCATGCGTCAGGTAGCTGCAGTAGTAGTATCAGCAGCAGCAGCAGGGAGCACTTGCTGGTAGGTCGAGCGCGCGCGTGTGTGTGTATGTGCGTGCGAGCAATAACCATGCATTTGTATGAGTAGGTTGGTAGAGTGCTCGCTATCGCGTCATTGCTTTGACCACGCCAACCTAAAGCCGTTGCTAACGTCGTCGACACTTTGGTTGTCGTTGACGATATACTATTTATTTGTATGTATGTATGTATGTATGACTTTCGTTCAGTTTTCGCACCACTGTTGCTGTTGTTTGCGCGCACACAAACACTTCAACAAACGCGCGCACGTTTACACACAAACACGGTCTTATTCCTCGTCTCACTGCTGCCTGTCGCGTACTACCCCTACTCCATACCCTGCAGGCAGCAACCAGCAATCGCTGCCGCCCCGTGCGACGCAACTCAACTCAGCGCCCGGCTTAGCTGAGCTGGTCGACGCGTTTCACATTCAGTTGCTCGCCTGCCGTTGTGGATATTGCCCGCTTTTTCGAGGAGGTTTGCCATCGCCGCCTTCATCATAGCCAAACTCTGCGTTGTTCGTGTGCGCCGTCATCGTCATTCGTTATCGTTCGTTCGTGCCAACAGTCGTTGACTACAATTGCATGTTGCTCAGCGCTAAAATTGCTGTTATTATATAAAATTGTTGGTTGCTGTTAGGCGATTTCATCATCATCGTCGCAGTCATATCGAACGGCTTGGCGGAACGTACGCGTGGTATGCGCTCAGCTAGCGCTTGTTGATTTTTTGTGTGAAAAGGAACAGTGAAAAAAGTTAAGTGCAACAATTGTGGCTAGTAATAGTGTTTAGAAAGAGATTTACATAAAAGTGATTTTCGAAACTTGTCAAAAAACTCTTTAGAGGATTTTCAAAGCAGCGCGGCTCCAGCGTTTGTCGCAGTTGTTAGTTTTTTTCCTCGTGGTATGTGTGCGCGCCGCGTGCATAGCAAGTGATTGTGTGCTGAAGAACAACAACAACAACTGCGCAAAGTATCAAACTACCAAAGCAAAATGAGGCTGTCCACATCCAACGATTCCAAACCGGATAATTATCAAATTAACGCAAAAATCTGTCGGCTAGTCGAGCGTCATCCCTGCATGTACGATCGCTCGCATCCGCACTACCTGAAAAAGGATGTGGTGGACAAGGCGTGGGTGAAGATTTCCAAGGAAATGGATGACTCAAGTAAGTAGCTACATACATACACATTAACACAGACACGCGCATGCCTAAAAATGCATCAACGCTACCTAAAAACGGACGGTAGCGCATTTAATTGAATGCAATTCGAACAACAAAAACAACGTCAGCAACAGCAACACCTAAATCGCTATTGTCCGCTTGCTTAACACCGCTACCACCACTACTACTGCTACTTTTTTCCACACACATTCACACTCGCGGCCTGTAGCGCGCTCACTGCGCCCCACCACCAGCTGGCCGTTGTCAGGCAAAACCTTTTCAGCCTACTTGCAGCTGCCATGACGTGTTTTTTCTGCATTGCTGTTTTTTGTTGTGCTGTTCCGTTGCTTGGTAGGCTAGCGCGGTCGCTATTCACTGCGTCAGTTGCGCGCACATTGCTGCTGCTGTTTTGGTTGTCGAGAGCGCGCGCATTCGTTGCGACGGCAACCCAGACGGGGCTCTTGTTTGTGTCGTTTACAACCAGACATACAACCAACCTTCAGCAATCCGCTCACCCTACGCGCGGCTTAGCACGCCAGCAAAATGTTACTATCGCCATTGTCGTCACAGTTGTAGCTTTGTTGTTGCTCAATTCCCCATTGCTGGCTATAAGTGCGCATTTTCCTATTGTTATTGCCATGGTGCTGCGCCATCAACGTCAGCGGCGCTGTTGTCATGTTTATTTGCTGGTGGTGGTGGTGTTTTTGTAGTTGTTCTTTAAATATTTGTTCGCGCGCGCTCTCCTTCTTGCTTTGCTCTCACAAATGCTCTCTCATCGTTTGTTTGTTTTTCTGTCCCGAATGTTATGTGCGCTCTTCTTGTTTGCTTCACAGTCTGCTATTGTTTTTGCCTGTTTAGTTTCGATTTTTGTCTGCAATGTGGGCGCGCGTTCAAGTTGCAATATTGCCAACTTCGACTTGTTTGGATAGCAGCGGGGGCAACATTTATTTAGCGTCGTTGCGGCGGAAATACCGGTGACTCCGTCACGTATTGAGTGGCTCTCAGCGAGAGTGTTTTGTTTGTTTGTTTGGTATTCGCGGGTGTGTTGACTCTACCTGTCAGCAATACGAATGTGGCATTTTAATTGCGACTTATTATTGCGTGTGTTTTTAGTTATTAATAATACTGTTACCTACATTCTACAGATAGAAAAGGGTGATGAGTGAGACAACTCTCTACCGCTTGATAAATTTTTTAGTTACAAGATTCTACTAACTCTGCAATTGATTCCGTTGTAATTAGGCTGTTGCTTGTGACATTTTGTTGCCAGAGTATAAAAACATTTACATGCAAGTGCATGTTGGACTATCGCACTTCCGAATTAGTTTCACAGCTGATGTTATAGACGCTGTTGAAGGTGATTCCTAAATACACAGACATCCACGTGCATTTCTTTCTTAAAGTGAAATTGTAAACAGGGACTTGGTTGCCGCGCTCTAGTGTGTTTTCTGTTAGTTAGATGAAAAGATACTTGATCCTATAGTCATTCGTTTTGCTTGCACATTAAACTTGGAAAAGGCTGGACCGGGGAAGCGCCTGCTAAGGGCAGTGATATCATTCGCACAGGTGAGAAATTGTGCGTTCCTAAAGGAAATTTTTTCTGAACCTTTTTTGGTATCGCCGTGCTACGATAGAATCCGAGGGTCTTTTCCAAGGCTAGGTGTAGAATTAATACTTATTCTATGATGGATTCACCAGGTCGAAGGTGATACTGATAGCATCCTTCCAGACACGCTCAATAGGATTTTGTGGGCGGTGTTTAGAAAGATGTTTACTTGGTAATTGAGGTATACGAAAGGATCTCTCAATCGGGCAGAGCACACTTAAATTACGGTCGGAAGGCATGCGCTCTTCCCGCCGTACTGTGCACAAAGGTAGATGCATGCACCTTATCGATTCGCCGCTCACGTATAATAGCTGAATGACAAGCCATCAGCTGTAAAAGATTTGTTGTTTTACAGCCTCATTATTGCGGTTATGACCTCGTCCTTGTCCAAGAATGATAGAATACCAGATTACGCCCATCAGAGAGGGTTTTTGAGAGTAATATTTGTGTGACGTCACACTGGTACAGTTGCGAGAGGAATGTCAAAAGGCGAACCAGAATGCAAGAGAAATTTTTTCCAGAAAAACGTAAACAAGTTGCACAAGTATAACGTCATACAAACAGCGATTTTGTCAAATTCGCACGATGTTTTCTACATTGTGGTCTTGGTCGGGGGGTGGGATGTGAGCTTCGTCCCTAAAAACTAAGCTAGGTTCTTCACTATCAGCATCGCTTTTCAAAAGCATTGAGGAAATTTCCCTGTCTTGAACCATTTAATTGCTATGTTATTTTCTGCTGGTATATTAGAGCCCCAGTTCTACTTACCATCATCACCTTGAGCTCTTCGCACTAACGTATTTCTGCCTTTCCTTTTTCCATTTTTCGTAAACGCGCATTTGGACTTAAGCTACAATAAGGTAGTGAAACGAGTTGATGTTTTCTCCTCACATAGAGATATCTAGAACATGATCGATTTGGTTCCTTTGGTCTAGTAATGCGAACTGTCATGTTCATGTCGTCGGATTTGTGCTCATGAAGGCTAGAGTTTCCAACAGTAGGACAAAATATGTTTTCTTTGCCGAATAAGTCGGAGTGACTCCACCGAAGCTTCTTCTTTTCTGTCGTGAACCAAAGCTGCTGCACATGATTGAGGGCCCGAAAGAGCCTGCGACGTCAATAATTATCTTCGTATGCCATTTGCGGAGCGCCTGTGCGCACATAGACAACGGTAAGCTAACAGTAATGAAATATTAAACAGAACAAATGGGTCAAGCGCATTTCGTTGCAGACTTCAAGAAAAGAGAAAACACTCGGTCTCTGAGCGCGAGCCCGCCTGCGGTATCGGTTTATCGAACAGTATATCTACGGGATAGTTTATTCTGAATATCTACAGTAGGAAATATTGAAGCAAATGCTATCCTGTATTAAATATGATTAGCCAAAACTTCTAATTTAACCACTCATTCATTTAACTATAAATTACTTAAAATATGCCTAATATTATCTCCATCTCCACTCTCTCTTTCAGTACCATCATGCAAGGAACGCTGGCGCAATATACGCACCTCTTTTGCGCGCTCCATCAATGTAAACAAAGTTCCGTCCAGTGCTAATCGTACCAAACCCTATTATCTGCATGAAGAGTTGCAGTTTTTAGCGCGCCACATCACCCCCGGTATACCGGTATCACGTCGCCCCAACTACTACACATCTGCTGACGAGAAGAGCGAAATGATTGAAGTGCCCATCGGTGAGGAGTCATTTGATGGCTTTGCTGCCATGGCAGCACAGGAGGAAGAAGAGGACGATGAGCAGCGCACCGATGAGGATGAGTCACAGCAAGAACGTGCGCCGAGTAGTAGTGTAGATGAGGCTACCATGTCGGGCAAGGGAGAGCAAGCATCACAGAGCCAGTCGGCACAAGAGGCGCAAGCAGATGGTGGGGAGATTACATTGCCAGCGCAAAACTCACCACTGCCACTGGTGCAGCATCAACAACCACTACAATCCCAACAGCAAACACAATCTGTACCTATACAACTGCAACAACCACAACAACCGCAACAACAACAACAGCAGCAGCTGCCGATACCTTTACCGCAACCGTTGCCGCCTGCACTCCCTGTTGAACCAATGGAAGTGGTGGAACGCATTGTGGCAGAAGTACCAGTACCTGTAATGCCATTGTATCCATTTAAGAAGCGACTGCGCCCAGCTGAAACAATGATGTGCGCGGAAGTGGAGCCGGAGCGCGATGTAAAGGTTAGTTTTTGCAGCTTTTTATTTCTTTTTCATTTTAAATAAAACTTGTTTTTTTTTTCATACACAGCCCCAACCCAGCGAACTCTGCACACCCGATCCTGACTTTGACGCCGCGTTTCTACAAGGCCTGCTGCCCGAAATGAAGGCAATGGACTTTCGTCAGAAGATAATTTTCAAGAAGCGGATCTATGAAGTGATTGGTGAAATTTTCGAAAACACAACAGCGAGCTGTAGCTCAGCACGTCGTTCGTCGCAGGCCAATACTAGCTATAACGGTCACGTTTCTAATGCCAGCAGCAATGGTACAGCCTTTAGTAATGGTTATGTCGCCAACGCCACCGCCGCCTACACGAATGGCTATATACCAAACAACAAAGGACGTACACCACCACCCACACCTACTCCGACACCTACCTCATCGCCTAGCGCCTCTGGCTATGCCTCGCCGCTGAATACCCTCAATTCTAGTTCTCCCACCATAAATGCGGCCGATTTGGCGATGATACGTCGCCTCAGCACACTGCTGCAGAGTCCGGCGGTGGCGTCTAGCACTGGTGCTATGACAGCGCTGCCAAAGAATGTCGCCTCCATATCGTCCACTGTGCGCACCACCACCAATACGACAACTACAGCCTCGTCAATGTCACCAGCGTCGATGCTCAATGCACATCGTGGCGCGTTCACGCGGTCCAGCGCCAATTTACTGCGAAACAACTCGGCGCCCACTTCATCCACCAATTACGGCTCAGCGTCATCAACACCAGCCGCCATCAGTCATGCAGTCAAGCAAGAATTGTTAGATGATTGAGTCAGTTTTGGAAACATATTCTGCTTTAATTGAAAAGTGTATTTGACTAGTTCATGTTTTTAATGCTTTTGGTAAATCGTAGCTTTAGATTTTTAGCGTGTAAGTTGTTTTCTTAGATTTTTTCCTTTAAGACTTTTTTATGTGTTTGCTGTATGTATATATGTATGCACGCATGTACTATATAAATAACTGTAAGTGATCAATATTTAGTTTGTATGAATACATAAATAAATTCTAATAACTTTTTTACTATTGTAATTGTCAAATTCATTATCTGAACTTAGATCCGAGTAATTTGGGTCAATCTAGGCTGAAACTGTCATTGCCAAGATTATTATTATAACAGGGCAGGGCTAAGATAGTTGTAAGACAATTGAAATACACTAGGTACCAAGATAGGTTGAAAGATTTTGTTCAAAAAAACTTGGGCGAAATTTCATGGCGAAAAGCTCTTTCGACAGAAAGCACTTGCGCATGCTCCATTTGGAGATGAATAAGTATGTATGTACATATATCATTTTGTCGCGCTGCTCCAGCAGTCGCCATGGCCGAGAGAGCAAAGCACTGCGTGGGTAATTTGACTAATTTTTGTAGCAAAAATTACTTTCAACCAAACAAGTAAATTACTTCCAAAAAAGTCATTTTTATATTGCTTGTGATATTTAAAATTTTTGTAAAAAAATTTTACCTTTGACGACCGATGAGTCTAAAGCGGTCGTTTTTTAATTTGTAGTTTTATTTAAAAAGCTTGAAACCAGTTTTTTTCTTAACAATTATCTTCAAGAAAAAAATGCCGCTTAGTTGTAAAAACTATTTATTGCCAAATTATATTAATTTCAATTGAAAATCTGAAAGATCTAAAATTACCTATTTGTCTACTTAAAAGTTAAAAGGATATTGCTTTCGTTTGGAGTCCGTATTAGCTTGATAGCGCTGTATTCTGAAGCGGTCGAGAGAGATTTCCAGATGACTTCCGAACGCATAATCAAAGATATAAGCCTTTTTGGCCATCTGGCTACGGGAGTATAAGCTCTCATCTTACCTATGCCTGGCTACTTTGTAACGATTTGGTGACTAAAATTTGAGGTTGATAGATAAGACACATCCACCTACTCTCCCTTGGAACTCCCATGGTGGTTCTGATTGATAGAGCTGAAAAAGCCTAAAGTACTGAACTTTGAGAACAAAAATCTGGCAACCCCATCATAATATCATAATAAAAAAAGTAAAGTCGGAATTTTTATGCTCTCACGGCCTAGGATTGTTCTATAGCGAAAAAATATACTCCTATTTTTATTTTTAAAATATTTAGAGGTCGCTCAAAGTTTTCCATGTATTTTATATGGGGAAAAAACAACTATATATTTGATTTCAAAATAAAAATAGGGGCCTATTTTTTCGATATAGAACAATCTTAGAGGGTGAGACCATAAAAAATCCTATTTAACTTATATTGGACCACCCTAATGTATATACGTGTAGTTGAAAGTTACGTTCTAGAGTTGCCATGAGTGCGAGCGCAGGTATATAAGGTCGCTGCTACAGCGCACCGAGGTCAGTGGCGATTCAGCAAGCTACAATTGTATTAGCAAGCTTTGTAAAGTGTTTTAAGTGCTTTAACAAGTATTTTTAATTTTTGCTGCATTCGCGAATATTGTAAAGTGTTTTTTTTTCTACAATAAAAGTAATTATACTGTAATTTGGTCAATTTGAGCGTTTATCTAACGATCCAGCGATACGAACCTGGGGATTTTAATAAATCCGTCATGTAGTCAAGGATAATCGTAACAGTATTTATAATTCAATAAAGACAACACTACTACTACAATTGTGTACCTACTACTACTACCCAATTAACATTGCGATGGCCTACGGCTAGACCATATACTCCAGCTTTGCATTACATTAGGGTAGCACAAAACTACTCCAAGGCATTATTTACCTCTTGGCAACACAGCCCAATAAAAATGGTTTAGGGATTACGATCGTTAAAACACGAGCCATAATCGGGTAACTATCAGCTGGTGTAAAGACACGAATTGTTCCGCTACTGCAATACAGAGTAGCACTTTGTAAGTACTATTGTAATACTGTGACTATTTGTTAGTTTTTTTTTGCACTAAAACTCCCAAATCGAAAGAAATAAGCCAAAAGAGGGAGTAAACGAGTAGCGTATTGGGTCCACCATTAATTTTTAATTTACATATAAAACCAAGTTTTTTCATGGCTGTGATTTTAATATTATTTTCATACTAAATACGTACCCAGTATTTTGTTTTGCATGAATCATGATTGTCTCGCTGCCGCTGTTCGGTGTCATAGCATTGCTTTTGCTACATTCTGATAGCGTTTTTCCGACTTCCCTTGGCCGGGGAAACCCCGTTGGAAATGTGTGCGTGTGTATTGCGATAAGGTGTTCTCCACTAATTTGCTGAGTTTGTGCTGTTTAACATTTTGCAAACAGGAAATGATATATACGTACATACATATTTATGTGTACTTATGTATATATGAACACTGAATTTAAAAACAGTAAAAAATTGTTGCTTTTCGTACCTATGTGGGTATTAAGGAGTAGAATAATTCACTTAGTAGGACATTCGCGAACCAAAGGCAACAGTTCATTCTTTTGCGACTGATTGCGGAGATCAATTCTTTATTATGCTCCTTGCACTTGAGGCTGTTGAGGTTCGCGATCGCTTTCAGCAAAGAACCCAAAAATTTAAAATATATAGTTTATACAGTCAGCTAATCGAGCAATTTGCCATGCTTTTTCGATTAAGGCGCTAATTGAGCTCGATTTATCATAGAAAACTAAAAGTAAATCGAGTAGGAATTTCCATGCAAATCTTTTGCATAGCATTTTATATACATAATTCTCTAGTAAATAAAATAAAAGTATAAACTTAGATCAGTTTTATCGTTTTATTTTGTAGAGAATATAAATATCGCTCATTCACTGCAAGGGTGGTATATTCTAAGAAATCAAAAGCTCGAGAAAAACGCTTTTAAAGTCTACGGTTTTCATACGCTCTCATAGCACTGTGGCTGAAATAAGCACTTTCCGCGGCCAAAAATCAACCAATGCAGATGGGCGCTTAAAATCCTGCACACATGCTTCTGAGAACCTTGTTTTGAAAATCAATGAAATCGGCCCACAACCACACCCACCGCCCATATACCGGGTGTCCCGGACCACCCGTCCACCCCACCTAAAACGGAGGAAAATGCTGTTATTGGAAAACGGAAAAATATGAACTACCAAGTCGGGGATGCTCTATATTTTGGTCGTATTATCGGCTTACGGTTTCGACCGGGAGCTGGCAAAACAGAACGGAAGTCCATTATTTTAACCGATCCGAAGTCCAATTTAAAAAAAATGGACTTCCGGTCCATCCACACGTTGAATATTTGTTCATTTTTGACTTTGAAAATAGTAATTTTATCAAACAGTAGTCAGTTGAAGCAGACAATTCATACACCAAATGAAAGTAGATATAATGGCTTTTACTAGATATATAAATCAAATCGGACGAGATCGGGCAGGAAAAGTCACACTGCACGAAACAAGCACAATATGATTAAATTTTAATAATCATAACACGCATTTCCAAACAGTGAATTTTTCAAAAACACAAATGTTGTTTAAAGCCACAATTGTTAGAGTTAACAGTACATACCATTAGTAATATTTTCCATTGTTAAAATAATCATGCTTCAAACTTTTTATATACGTAAAACACAACCGTGTTGCACTGTAGTTCAATATAATAAAATTCTAGTACAAAATAAAACCAAAACTACAAATTTTACATCGACAGATAAAGGACCAGGGTTCAATTTCGGTCATAAATTTATAATTTCTTTTCTAGTTAGAGCATCTAGAATACAGTCCGCCTGTTAAAAATTTTGAAAGCAAAAACGGAAAATTGGACTTTTGGCCGCAGAGAGTGCTCATTTCAGCCGTTGAGCATAGTAAAAATTAAAACAATTTTTTTTTTCGAATGAACTATTTTCAATCGATATAGCTATGAAATATGATACTTTTGCAGCAAATATATATCAAAGTATATATGTACATTAGGGTGGTCCAAAAATGCATGTGAAAAAGTAAAGTCGGAATTTTTATCCTCTCACCCCCTATACCGAAAAAAATATACTCTTATTTTTTTATTTTGAAATCAAAAAATATTTAGAGGTCGCTCAAAGCGCCCAAAGTTTTCCATGTATTTTATATGGGGGAAAAACAACTTTTCGTAGAAATGGCATAGATTAGTTAAAAATCAATATTTTTCTACCAGAAAACTCTGTTTATCTGCAGGAGATTCCCAATAATAATACCGGATTGTTTATTTAATCATTTTTTCATCGCAACTATAATTTATAGGTCCGCCAAAAACCCCGAAAAATGCAATGGGGCGACCAATAAAAATCGTTAGTATTAAAAAATGGTTAAATAAACAATTGGGTATTATTATTGAAGGTATCCTGAAGAGAACCAGAGTTTTCCGATCGAAAAATATTGATTTTGAAGAATTCTATACCATTTCTACGAATTTCTGCGCTTTGAGCTACCTCTAAATATTTTTTGATAAAAAAAAGAGGGGTATACTTTTTTTCGATATAGAACAATCCTAGGGGGTGAGAGCATTACAATTCCGACTTTACTGTTTTTGGACCACCCTAATGTACATACATATAAATAAATTGTTTAAACATGACGATTAAATATTTCTAATTATATCATATACAATGCATACAATAAAGAAATTTTATTTTCAAATCACAATGTATTTTCCAACCGCAGTAAGATTTTTGGGTGATTTGCAAAATGTTGCGTATACGCATAGTAGAGTAGGTCTCAACATGTCACAGCAGTTAGCGGGCTTATATCGTTATCTTTTGCCTCACTATATGGCAACATTATTTAAATGCCCTTAAAAAAAGATTGCATTTTGCGTATGAGAAAAGAACAAATAAATGCCACCTTGAAAATTCATAGTTCCACTAACTTATTCGCAATTTATTCGATTAATTTAAAAAAAAAATTTATAATTTACTTCTATTATAACATAAAAATGTGTTTATGAAAAATAATTATAACAAAAAAAAAAATCAAAATCTGCTGGACAACACTCACAATGAGAATAGAACACGCAAATTTGACAGCCCAGGCACAGCGCAGAATAAATGCACCATTATTTCGAGAAAAGAACACGCCATTACTCTCTTTTTTTTTTGTTGGGTTGTTTTTGCGGTATTTATGTACATCATCGAAATATTCCTATATGTACGATAATCTGTAGTAATAGTTCAGCATGCAGGTCATGCAGTATACATAATCTGTGGATCGACTGCTACATACAGTTTTTTAGATTTTGGAACTCAATGCTTTGTGTGAACAGTTTTATTTTATCTTTTATTTCATTCTCTTTCATATAAAAAAATTTCGAACATACTTTGTAGGGAAGAACAAAAAAAAAAAATTTGCCAAAAACCAACGGTATTTTGTAGCCGTATGAAACTCGCATACTGCATACGCAAAACTTTTCAAAAATTCTTAAAAAAAGTGTAAAATTTTGGAGAAAAATCGCTGAATGTTTATAATTTTTGCACAAAGTTTGAAATGTGGATTAGTATGATGTTTGTTATAGAATGAGCTACCTATATTTTTATAAGCAAATAATTGAAATTAAATAATATGAAAATAAATTGTAAAAACTGGTTAATATGTGGCGGTCTTAAAGTTATGCAACTGAGTGTATATCGTCATCATTCATCTTCCTTCACAAATTTCTTTTTGGAATAAGGATTTTACAATTGTTATGCATAGGCGGAGTTCAGGGTTACCAAAACAAATTTTTGCCAGTATGGCGACTTAGTCGTTGAGTGATTTTGCAAAGGCATCGACGATATATTGATACGTTTAAACTAAGATGCACACCTCATTATCGATATACTAGTGAATAAGAAACTTGCGCATCCCCCTTTAGGACGTGTTTACCAGAAATTTACGTTGCTAAGTGCAGGTATTTTGATATTTATCCAAGATACCATAAACCTGAACTTTGAAATTACTTTTCGAACGATCATTCATTTTTTGCATTGCTTCCGATATGTTTTCCAAAAATCGTTTATCATCAGACTGAATTTTATTTTCATTATCCTGATATTTGTCTTCTGTTGCTGGTGCGTCTTTTGCTGTTGTTGCTGATCGTGAATCTGTTATTGTTTGCATTGTTTCCATTGCTCTAACTGCTGCTGCCCATTCTTCGTCTGAAATCGGCGTAAAATTGTCCTGCTCATTGTTGTTAACATTTTCATGGTTGACTATAAATTGGTGCTTAGTTGCCTCTGTTGTTGCTATAGCTGCTGCTTCTAATGTTGTTGCTGCTCGTGGCTCTGTTGCTTCTGAACGAGTTACTGTTGCTGCTGCTGACGTCGATGGGGTGTTGTCTAACTCTTTATTGTTGTTTACTATTTCAGTATTCCCTAAACATGAGCGCTTTGGCGATATAATGAAGTAGTCCTTGATTGAGCCCTTAGCCTTTACATTGGTATTTGTAACCACAGTGGTACTGGTTAAGTGCTTACGCTTGCGCCATGCTTGGATATTTTTCTTGACTAGTACTTCTTCTTTTGTAGCTTCTCTTCTTACGAATGGTTCTAGAAATGTTAGATGTTCAGACAAATAGTAAGGTTGGATATTTGGATTGACTTTGCATTTTTCGATGTACCTTTTGTAGCCAGTTCGTATCGTTTTCCAGCACTCTTTGCACTCAGATACTGAAAACAAGTAAAAATTGCATGATTTATTGTACAAACAAGAAAAATTCTTTTCAAAAGTAATTCCATAAATAAATAAAAAACTCTACACACAAACTTCTAAATAAATGCGTCAGCTTTCATTGGACTCAAGTTTTTGCTTCTTTGCTTTCAAACAACAACAAATATGCATAAAATGAGCCCACATTGCCGCATGCTCGAACAATGGTGTCACTATATTGCTTTTCGCCAACTTGCGGCAATCAAAATTGTATAAAAAGAGGCAACCGTGTGACTGTACAGAATTTGATTGGGACAATTTTTTTTGATTGTGCTCCACTACAGCACATTTTTTTAAACATGTGGCAACCCTTCTACGCGTCGTTTAGAAATAAAGTATTTGCAAAACCATTTCAATTGATGCCCATATTGTAGTATAAAATTAATTTAACTTATTAAACAATTGTAATAAAATTTGAAACAGTTGGCAACCCTTTCCAAAAAAATAAAACTTTATTGCACGTCTACAGGCCAAGCGCTGTCATTTGACACCTCACATTTGAAAATAGAACGAACTATATGCACATACCTATGTAAATGCCACAAGAACCCAAATTGTCAACTTAAAACTGCATTTATAGTGAAAGTATAAAAGCTTTCCAAAAACAAATTACATTTTTGAATTAAACGTCCTCAATTTAACTAAGAAGCGAATTTTAATTTAAATCCGTCTATAATTCTATTTTTGCCAACATTTTATATGGAAGGGAACCACTGTGCGACGGCGGAATAACTTTTCACAATTATTCACTATGGAATAGCGACGAATAACTTTCCGGCAGAGGAATAAATATTTATTCCAATAGAATCAAAAAGATAAATATGCCACAGTGTAGGGGAATAAATTCTCTACACAATTGCAGTGGGAAGTATTGCGCCGCGGCTTAACACTTTCGCGTAATCGATTGGTAAATTCAATGATTTTTTTTTTTTTTTTATGAAATATAATGTATAAATGCAAAGGAAGACGTTAACAATTGATTGCGCTATGGGGATTAGTCGTAGCGTAGTAAATACCTCTGCAAATATGTAGACAATTTCACCCTCTGCAATGTAGTATTTTTATGATTTTGATAAAGGCATCTGATTTGACTTAGCTTGAGTTGAATTAGACAAGATTTGTTAGAATTTCATTAATATAAAAATTCGAAAAAGATAGAGTTCATTGTTACGGCATTATTGGACTAGCCCTAGAAGTTGCGTAACGGGTGACAGTAAAAAAAAAAATGTTTAAAAAAGGCGGTCAGCTTTTTTAAAGAGTCCAATTAAAAAAACGTACCAATCGGCCCATTTTTGGCGCAGTTATGGGTATTTAAAAAAATAGGGCTTTTTTCATAAATCGATTTATCGAGAACGGCTAGACAAAAACATCAAAAAAAATCGGGGAGGCTTCTTTGAGTTGGTAGTATAACATAAAAAGTTATGAAAAATATCGGAGATGCAAAAGCCACTTCGGTGCTGGAATGCCCCATATTTCTCTTTTATTTGACACCCATATTGTTATTCTACATTGCACTGAGTTGTCCTGACGTCAGAGTGAAAACCTAAAAACGCAGGAGCCAAAACTGCCAAAACTGCTTAGAATTAATTTTCAGCGAAAATGCTACAAATGTTGACTACAGAGCATAAGAAGGGTAAATTTAAAAATTGGAGCATTGCATTTAATAAAAAATTATGTTGCTGTCTTTTCAGGTTCTTGCCTGTTTCTATTTCACCTTAAATAAATTAAAGGGGATAGTTACAAACTAAAAAAAAAACAGGTTCTAATTATTACCAGTATGTATTATTAAATAAAGCAATTTTTAAACTCAGTAATCAATTTTTAATGAATAACATGGAATAACCTCCGTTATATAAACTTCGTCTTTGCGCGCACTGCTACTCACCTGACTTTCCCAGATCATTAGCGATACTCTCCCAAGCTTTCATCTTCTCTCTATTACTGTGGAAAGAAGGATCGTTCGTATCATAAAGGCACCTATAGCTCTTAACTAGAAGACACAATTTATCTTTTCCCACTGTACTTTCCAATGTTGTACTGGGTCCGGATGTATTAGCGTTGCTGTTGGTGACGATGGTGATATTGTATATATTTCGATCCATTTTTCGAGTCACTGGAGTAGTC